TCAAACTTTTTCATGATGGCCAGGTTTTTACTTTGTAATGTTTGCCTCTTGCGCGGCTATCCCACTCACAAAGAAAACAGCAAAATTTTGTGTATCCTCCTTGTAGTCCAGTCAGTATAGCGACAACTTATAAATCAGCACAAATATTCCATAGGTATTGAGAATATTTAATTTTCTCAAGTAATACCTCAAGGTTTGCATAATTTTCTTTCATGCTTGTAGCAAGTAACTTGTAAAACTTTCTTGCCTCGTACAAAAATATGAAACTCTGGTACTTTTAGCCAATAGATTCCACTGTTCTAACCTTGATCCGAGTAACTGTGCCTTAGATTTTTGAAAGTCCCAAGTCTCTAACAAGATCATTTAAGTCGCCTTGTTCAAGTAAATGAGGTTCTGTAGATGGACATGAAGATCCAGATAAATTGTATGAAGATGAAGATGTACTACCAGAAAGAAAACTCGATTGAGATTGTAGATCTGAAATATTTTTATTTTCAGCCTCCTAATTAACTGGTGGAACTGGAGGTGGAGTGTCTTTGTCACTAGGAATTGGTCTCTTTGCAGATAGGACGTTCGCATAAACAATCTTATCTCTATTTTTTTTTTTCGAGAATCCTCGTGTGGATGTCATGCAGAAATAACAATCATTCTCATGATTTTGAGACTCTCAACGTTCTTGAGCAGCTATTGCAGCATACTTTTGGCAACCAACTTTTATCTCGCTCATCGATAGAAAATCCAAAATCTAGCTTATAAGCTGTTTTAACCAGATCGGTCATGACATGTCGCTGTGTTTTTAATATGTATTCCCCACAAATGTAGCAAAAACAATCTGACGAATTTTTACAAGTCCGTGGCATTTTGTAACCTAAAATCACATAAAATAAATTTTAAAACAACTTTCAAACTTCTATTTTATATTTATTGACCCTACTTAAAAAAATACCCAAACTACACATCAAATACTTAGATCCAATGTAGAGAACATGAACTTTATGCAAAACTTACCAAAATATTTGATATAAAAGGTAAACAATTAAACGACAAGTTTTCACTGGACTGTTGTAGTGTCACAATGAATACTGCGCATGCGCGTATTTACTACCATAAAAATCACCTTCGGCACTTCCCTTCTTTCTCTTACAACTCTCTGAAACTCATTTTGTATGTATATTTACTTTTTGTAACGTTGACGAATGGAAAAAATGAAAAAAAAACAAAATTTTGAAATATAAAAAAAAATCATATCGAAAAATCTACACGTGATAGAAAAAATCGGCAAACGGGGATAGATTCAACACGTTTGAATCATTATATTCATCATAAAAAATTTTAAAGGAGGATTTCATTGCCAATTATAATTGGTTAAACTCCAAACTAAACAACTAATCAATCTCCAAACTGTCTCCAGGAAGCTGCGCAACAATTCAAGATTGCGTAAGATTCAGAAGTTCTTATGGTACAAAAAAATATAAATATGGTTGGAAAAGGGGGGAATTTTTGATGATTATGTTGTTTGATAATGTTTACTCACCCATGAAAATTATGGTTTCTTCTTTCTTTAGTTCCTTAATTATATCCCGCGCAGCGGAATGGATGTTGTCTTCCCAATCATAGATAACTTCCATAAAAATCAAAAACAATCCCTCTCTATGTTTCTTCATTTGTCCCGAAATGGTGATTCTATACGTTTTACATCCAGTTGATGGATTGATGGATTATTGAGGGATAGGTACTGCTTTCTTTAAGCGGCGTTCGTTACAAAGAAGTTCGAAATAATAGCCGATTCTAACAATTTGCCACTAATGGCACTTCGTTCGATTTAGTGACTCGAAACGCCTCTGATACGGAGCTCTGAAACAGGTCAATCGTAGGCTTAATGACGCTCTGTTTTAACCGCGACATGCGGTTTTAGCTTGCCTCAGCCGAACCTCGATACGCATCGAAGAGTGTGATACATTGTCCCGCTGTGAGTCGTATTTATTAATAGATTGCTTTAACGGCCCGTGGGAAATTTATTTAATTCACAATTAAATTCGGGAACTCCATTAACCAACAGAGAGTACGAATGGTGGCGACAAAATTGATATTTAACCCCTCTCTGTGTCGGCTGATTTAATCAAGTTGATACAAATTTTGAAATGACTTTGGTTGTTTATCGAAATGGTACGTCGCGCTTTCGTCGCTGCATAGATTTACAGTGTTGAACATCGTTATTTGTATTTTGGTTTGTTTATATTACATTCGGTGATGATGCAATGATGTTTGTTTTAACCATAAATGCTCTATTATGATTCCTATACATGTTTTTTTAGCCCTAAACTCCTGTCTCTCCAATGTATCCTTAGTGTCCCAAACAGAATTTTGTCTTTGCTGCATCGAAGATGTGGAGAGATTTTTGGACAAGTAGCGAATCTGGTTGTGTTTCTTAAGTGTTTTTGCTATGTTGTCAGTAATGTTTTGAATGTCAAAAGGAACCACGGTGGCAAGGATTTGATTTCCTTATTTTAAAAACTTTGACATGTTCAAGTTTTTATTTGTTATGTTTTTGTATGTTTGTTATCGGTTATGAACTGTCTTGTTTTTAGGGCCGTAAAATTATCTCACGCCGAACTACTGGACCCAGAATTAAACCATTTAATATCTGCTCTCCTCTCCGCTAGTTTTCACATTAGAAATATTAAGTATTCCATTACAAAATACACTTCACAACAACATAGAAAATGAATCAGAAATCAATCCCACACTTGCTACTGTGATCCTTCATTACACTCAAAACATTACTGACCACACACCAAAAATTTTTAAGAAATATCTAGTTAAAACCAAATTAACCAGTTGTCCAAATATCTCTCATCATGTTGGATCCATCAGAGATAGTCCGTTTAAGACACTAGATGCTTACAGCATTACATGCATATGCGGCAAAGAACCAAAAGGAGACCGATGAGATAGAGTTTGAATTAATTTTCACCACGGACCAAATCACCAAAGCCAGACACATATCTTTTACTACCCCCTCCTGTAAAATACCTAGTTATACACCCATTTAGCGTGCGGAAAGTGTCATTTTACCAGTTTCGGAAATTTCTGGGATATTACTTGGCTGAAATTAAATTCACTTTTAAAAGGAAACTTACCTGTCTAAAAGAAATAGATAAATACTCGATTTTGCTTCTTTCCTGCCAACAAATAAAAAACATGCAGTGTCCCATATAAAAAAAAAATCAATTGAAAACTATTAAACTGTTAACTTTAAAGATATTACACCTAAAATAAAGAATGTTTTACTACTACTCCCGTCTTTAAAATGCCTAATTAAACACCGATCTAGCGTGTGGGAAGCGTCACTTTACACTTCCACTTACAGTTTCGTTTCCCACGGATCTGAGCCACTTCGGACATTTCTGGGATTTTCTCGCACGGGTTTGGGAGATATTTCCCACGCCTTGAATTTTGACGTTTGTCAGTTTTGAGGGTCATGACAGTATTCCTGTTGTTTTGCGAAAATGTACCCAAAAACTGTCTTAGAAAAATATAGTATGCAACACGTTCGATAAACTTTTTAAGTCATTCGTTTATTAAACATTCGCTCCGCTCGTGTCAAATAAACTCGTGAGTCAAATGCTGTTTACCGCACTTATTGCGTAATATACTATTTCTACTGATTACTCTAAAGTACCCAATGATGCACGGTTTAAGCAACTCTGACGTTCCTGGTATTTTAGTCACTGCTCATGGTCATGGTATTTAGACGTTTGTCAATTTTAACGTCCCAAAATTTTATATAAGTCAAAACTAAAGGTTGTAGAAAAAGTATAGTATGCAACACGTTGATAAACACCATCAATCAATCGTTTAATATCCACTTACTCCGCTGCGCGTTTATCCAACTTGCACAAAAGACTATTAAAATGATCATTTTCTAAAAACGGTAGCAGGCATCTATGAGTTTTTATACCGAATTTTATTTTGCAAAGGAGCTAAAACACATCTCCAATACATGTTATTATTGATATAAATGCCAAAGATAGCAAAAATAGAAATATAAACAGGAGCGCAGGGTGTTGGTGCAAAAGGCGACATAGACTTTTCGGACATATTAAAACAATGAATAATGAATCAATTAAAAGGAATGGTTTAAATGAAATGAATAATTTAATGACTTAATTAATGATTAAATAAAATACAACGACCCGCGACCTATCCAATGCTTCTGTAAAGCCAAACAACTATCTTCATCAGGGCGCTTTCGGAAAAATACCGAAGTGGGTTCCCAATGGCCCACAATATTATGAATTGTTAATGAGAAAATTATATCCGTTTAGGCTAAACCGATAAATAATGCAAATCAAAATAAACTTGAAACCTTAAAAGCTGACGATTCATGAGAACAAACACAGCAAAAACGCAAACCTGGGAAATGCATACATCCATATACATGGTACATCTAATAGAGTGCGGATTTTACTATTATGTTTTCCATTAAAACCAAACCCCATACACCGACTTAAGTGTTCATGGATTTCTTATGAAAGGAGAATTTGGATTTATAAGCTTGCAATTTAGCTCGCCTTTTACATTACTACGAGTATGTCTGACTGAATACAGAATGGAACTCCATAACTGCATAACTCAAAATTTAGAACAAATTATTTGGAAAAAGATGATATTTCAGCCACGTAGAAACGACCCATCCAAGTTTGAACTCGAGACTGGCAAACGTAAGCTCCCTGTTGTTACAGAACTTAGAGTTATTGTAAAATATCGTGTTAAAGCGGCAAGGCTAGGCATAATTGGGAGCTCCGAACAATAGCAACTAACTGCAAGTTTCGAGGCAGCGATGTAATTAGTTAATAATTTATTACTACAAAGTGACAGACAATAGAGAGTTCGGTTTCGAAAGATTTAGTTTAGGGTTTGCGCGGCAATGAACTTAATTCGCTGTAACACGAATATTTATTGGGAAGAGAAGTTTGAATTTCTTTCTTTTCTTTCAGGTGTTATTACCTTAGAATTTCTGGAGCTGCGTATTCCGAGCCACGCTATCCGGAATCAGAACGTTAAGTTAGAGTGCCATTTCGATTTGGATGGCGAGATTTTGTATTCGGTGAAGTGGTACAAAGACGGCAATGAATTCTTCAGATACGTGCCCAGAGATATGCCACCCACTCAGTCATTTCCGCTTCCTGGAGTCACTGTTGATGTAAGTTTGTGAAATGTTCAGTATAATCTGACATGAGTTTAATGTAAAAATGGAATTGAAAAGAAGGATCATTGTTATTAACCTTGTTAACCTAGTAACGCATTTCTGAAAATCTAATTTTTTTGTGTTATTCAAAAAAGCTTTTATGAGTAGAGATCTGATTAATTAAATCAATTTTGGTACTGTAGAAAATAGTTTTTTAAGTTTCTATTGCGACGTTTTCCATCACCCAATATTTCAGCCAAGCCACTAGAAGCAGTTGTGCTTTTTGTTAGCGTGTTGCCTTCATTGAGTCTTCTAGCAGATGTAGATTTTGATCTTGGCGAACAATTTCTTTAATATTGCATACCCATTTCAATCTTTTCTCTCTTGCTATTGCTATATGGAGCGGATTTTATGAGCATGCGCATGGCTCTAAACTTTTAGCTAACACAGAAATGTTAAATTTGACAATTGACAATTTGGGTAACCTTCAAGCTGGGTAACTTCGGCCTCTAAAGTTAAATTAACGTAAATAAAGAAAAACCTAATTCGACATTGACTGACTGACTCAATATGAATATTGTTTCTTGCCATCGTTGAAAACATATCCAAAAAAAAATTCTTTTCAAAAGTAACGGCACGGGTAAGTTTATTTTACCTTTTTCACAGGATCGATTGCTGTCAGTTTCCCCATAATCTCGTCCTTTGTTCGGGTATATGAATACGTTTAATTAAAACAAATTCTGGATTTTTTTATGAATTTCGAGTATGCCGCCGGGCAAGCTTATACAAAAGTAGCTTATCGATATTCGATTCGCGCTTTTGGGGTTCAACATTGACGTTTTAATGATAAACAATGAAATTTTATGCCATTTGTATTAATCCACTAAATATTTTTGTTTATATCAAGGTCAAAATAACGAGATGTAAAATATTTGACAGAAATTTCAATAAACAATGAAATTTAGTATGCAGAAATACTTTCTAATCAATACTGAGATAGGGAATTTTCAGGATGTCTTCATCTTTCATTTTTTAAAAGTACCTTCTCAAGTACCCCGACCGCGCTCTTCTCAGAATCTCATCATTGTTACTCCTGCAGTTCAGGGAATTTTTCACTATCCACATTTCGACCGCTTCTAGGCGGTTTATTGTGTTTGTCCTTAGTGTCCAGAACTCTACACCTTATATAAGAACCGGCCAAACATAGAATACAATCATATGTTGTCGAATGATCAGACTAAAGCCATTATTACAAAATAGTGGTCTAACGTAAAGCGTGCTATCTCGACCCGTCGCTTGATTTCCATGTCAGGATCTAGATTTTCTGTTATGCATCCTCGTGTTGTGCATGACTAATTACCATAAATTTTGTTTTCGTTTCATTGATGTTAAGTCCCATTTCCCTGCTGGCGTCTGCCACACTATTGGATAGTTGTTGGAGCTCATTTAAATTTTCTGCTAAGATAACCGTGTCATCTGCGTGCCTCAAGTTGTTTAAAGGTTATCCTTTGATCTTGATACCTATATCCGTCTCCTTGGTGGATACTATGAATAAAAAGGAAAGAAGCTCAGCAGGCACAATTAATGTTCGAAACATATATATTTTTAGATATATCAATCAAATCCGTGTTTTTTAAAATGTTTATTATTTAAAAAGGAAACCAAACTTCTGCAAAGTTTTCAGTTTTTTCAATTACATTTACCTTTCCATTATCCTCAACGTTCCGATATTTTTTTTATAAAACTAATCAGATGCACAAATATTAAGTTATTAATAAAAATAACACGCAAAAAACTAGTTCTGTTGGGGAAGTACAAAAACAATAGCCAACCAAAACAACTGTTTGGCGTTCTGCTCCATACCGAAATTGATGTTCTGTTGGCGTTGTTTAGCAGTTTGGATAAATCCGGGGTGGTGGAATTCAATTTTTTCTTAGGAATTTTTAAGCATATTGCTAAATTACATACCAGTGGATTGATTTTGGACCTACGTCCGCACCAGAATAGGTTGTTGCTCACGTCACGCAATGTGTGAATCATCTGTTTTCCGGAAAATAATCTATTTGTTTTCATACGAGTTTATTTGTGGCATCGGCAGGCGAAGTCCAGGTGTACAATATTCTTTTCTCGAGCAGTTTAGTTTGGTCGTCGTAAATGTCATGAACATCCCCATGGTACCTGCCATCGTCTGTATAGTCATATACATGTTACCGGCAAAGTTCGTTATGCAGTCATACCTAGGTTTGCTTAGGCAAGGCCCGCATTGCCGGGCCACTTTAGGCAAAGTCGACGGACATTGTGGTACGACAATCTTAGGTTTGCCAAATATGTAGCAGGCAAACTCCAAACTCCAAAAATATCCCTATTGCAGACACTCGAAACTTGTTGCAACGCGTTCACATAACCGCTGCAGGATGCGACTTCACTGAATTCTCATTCTGTATGTCTTTTTAGGTGTAATTAAGCGGCTGTTCCGTTCACTTAAGTTTAATCGTTGATTAATGACCAAGAAGACATATGCAAGTATGAGTGACGCGAGTGAAATGAAGGCGAGATTTTGGGAGAAATTAAAGAGTATGCAAAAACCAATAAACTAATTTTACGATAGAGAAGTACGAATCATTAATTAAACAAGTGGAAGGAGCCAAGAAAGCTGCGGAAAAAAAAACTCTTCAATTCCGACGTCTTAAACGTTACGATGTTTTATTTGTTGGAGCCATTAAAGAATTAATTTTGCCATTGACCAAGTTACTGAAGTGAAATACTTTGGGCCCAATGAAGAATTGTTTGAAGCCCTAGATAATGCTGACAAGGAATGTGGTCATGCTGGAAGAAACATTATGATTAAAGCACTAAGGACCAAATATGCTAACGCAACTCAAACACTTTACTTAGAGCTATGCGAACCCTGAAAAAGAAGTAAATTCGAGAAGACAAGTCGATCTTATAGATATACAGATTTGCCCTGATGGTAATTTCAAATATATTCTTAATTACCAGGACCATCTTTCGAAATATCTAGTTGCACGGCCACTAAAAACGAAAACAGCAGAAGAGATCGCTTATTGTTTAATAGACATTTTTTGCATTTTGGGAACTCCTTCTGTGTTGCAGTCCGGACGTGAATTTGCAAATCGCATTGTTGAAGAGCTGAAAGTGATGTGACCACAACTGAGTATAGTGCACTGAAAACCACGTCATTCCCAAAGCAAGGGAAGTGTGGAGACGTCTAGCCAAGATGTTGTAGGTATCGCAAAAAAAGTTTCCGAAAATTCTAGTAGGGGAATCAGTCACAGTGCCAGTTTCGAGTCTAGGCAGAGGCAGAGCAGATGCCCGTAATATACTAGGTGTTCTAACGGAAAAATCTGCAGATAGTTTTTGCAAAATTGGTACTAAACGTGGTGTAATTAACTCTCTATATGCAAGGAACCAAATCCAAAGTTGCAAAGAACAGTTTTTAAAGAAAGAGGACGTCCCGAAAGTGGAACTATCAATTCGCGAAATTAGTGGGCACAGTTCTTCATTTGGAGGGCAAGGGTCTCAAAGATGTAACTGTACCAAAAAATGTACCACTAACTCCTGTAAATGTAAAAGATTAAAATTGATATGCAATTCTAAGTGTCACCATTCGCAATCTTGTACCAATAAGTGACATAGTTAACACTAAATATATTTCATAAGGGTCCCTGTATAATATGCAGTCTGTAAAAAATGTATAAAGCAGGAGCCCTAATTCTACCCAAAGAGACCTCTTTTTTTTGCAAATACCTATTTTTTGGTAGAAAGTGACAAAAATAAAAAATACAGATGTATTTGTGATTTTTCTTCAAAATACAATAAATTATTATTACAAATTGTCATTTTTTCTTCTATCGCAAATTGTGCGTTATACTTGTACAACAAAAATATTGATATTATGATAGTAATGCGGCAGGTTATTTCGGATGTTGCCTGCTACACATTTGGCAAACCTAAGATTTTCGTACCACAGTGTAGGCAATGTCCGAAATATCTAATAATTTCGGACATTGCCTAAAGTGGCCCGGCAATGCGGACTGGCAAACTTAAGTATGACTGCATAACGGATTTTGCCTGTAACATATATACCTGAATTATCTTTATATGAAATGGTCTGGCGTGTAGTTGCCTCAGAAAGATCTTCTCCGAGAAGGGCGTAAAGTTCTTAACACATCTAGAGTATTTCTGGGTGACGCAGACTCCTGCTCCATTTTTGTGAGCATCCTCGTCCGTGTTTCCTGCATAGGAGAACGTCCCTTTTGGTTGATTGTATGTATTGTATGATTGTGAATTTTTTCACTTCTACAATTTTTCAATCTTCACACTCTACAACTTCTATGTTAAACATCTATATCAACGGTTTTTAATCTCTCTTTATTACGTTTCCTAATTTTCACAGTTTCAGCCCCACAAGTATTAATTTCAACAGTGTTTTTTTCGAGGTTTTTTTATATATTTTGTCAATTTGTTGTGGCTATCACAACAAATTTTATTTATTCTGTTTATTCTGCTGACGGTGTTAGCCTCCTCTGAAAACATTTATCCAAGATTTCTATATTGTTGGCAGAGGTTTGGGGATTGAGCAGTTGAGCTGTACCTCTAACCAAATATTTTATTCTGCCGACGTTTATTTCTTCGTAGAGCTCAGTTTTTGTTTTATTACTTAATATGGTATTTTGACTACTTTACTTAGAAACATTTACAAATGTCAGAGAGTCAAATAAAATACTCCGTATCAATAAAACGCCACCCCTTTTTTTGAATAGTTTCGCCAGAGACTATATTTCGCAGGCTTACCCTACCTATGCCAAATATTGTTAAACTCGGCATTTATTTATTTTTGTTTTGTGTTGTTGCTGCATATGCTTATACTCAATAGTTATTAGAATGACACTTATTGTGGTACCAAAATTATTAATTTTTAAACCGGATTATCGATTTTGCTTGCGGACAGAGTGAACTCAGCTGTGCAACATTAATTCGCTCTCGCAGCGGTC